ATACACCTGAACATCCAAAAAACAAGCCTAATTAAAAGGTGGTTAGAAGACCTGAATAGACATTTTCCCAAAGAAGACATACGCTGGCCAACAGGCACATGAAAAGATGCTCAACATCATTAATCATCAGAGAAATGCAAATTAAAACTACAATGAGATATCACCTCACACCTGTCAGAATGATTATCATCAAAAAGACCACAAATAACAAATGTTGGTGAGGATGTGGAGAAAAGAGAACCCTTGGGTGCTGTTGGTGGGAATGTAAATTGGTGCAGCTACTGAGGAAAACATTATGGAGGTTTCTCAAAAAACTGAAAATAGAACTACCATATGACCCAGCAGTTCCACTCGTGGGTATTTATCTGAAAAAAACAAAAGCACTAATTCAGAATGATACTTGTATCCCAATGTTCATAGCAGCATTATTTATAATTGCCAAGATATGGAAGCAACCCAACTGCCCATCAACAGATGAATGGATAATGGAGATGCGGTGTATACCATGGAATACTACTCAGTCATAAAAAAGAATGAAATTTTGCCATTTGCATCAAATGCATGGACATGGAGGGTATTATACTAAGTGAAATGTCATACAGAGAAAGACAAACACTGTATGATATCACTTATATGTGGAATCTAAAAAGTACAACAAGCTAGTGAATATAACAAAAGAAACAGACTCACAGTTACAGAGAACAAACTAATGGTTACCAAGTGAGGAGAGGAAAGAGGGAGGGGCAAGATAGGCATAGAGGATTAAGAGGTACAAACTACTATGTATAAAATAAGAAAGGTACAAGAATATATATTACAACACAGGAAATATGACAAATATTTTATAATAACCATAAATGGAATGTAGCCTTTAAAAACTGTGAATCACTTTGTTATTGTATATCAACTATACCTCAATTCTAAAAAGAAGAAAGAAAAGAATTAGAAGACTTTAATATTATAAGGATAATGATTTTACCCGGTATGATCTATAGAATCAATGCATTTCTGATCAAAATCTTTGCAGAATTCTTTTGTGGAAATTGACTAGGTAATTCTAATGTATAATATATATGGAAATGCAGAGGGACAAGGCGCTCTTGAAGAAGAATGAAGCTTGAGGACTTCACTACCTGCAACCAAGACTTTACCATAAATTAATTACACTAATCAAGGCAGTGTGATATTGGTACAAGTGAAAACAAACACACACAGGGGAACAGGATAGAGAATCATGAAACACACCCATAGCTGTATAATGATGTGGTTTATGATAAAAATAACACTGCAGTGAATTGGGGAAAAGATAACCTTTTCCATAAATGGTGCTGGATGAACTAAGTATCCATATTTAAAAACTAGTTTTGACCCTTACCTCACACCAAACACAAAAGTCAATTTCAGGTGGATTACAAGTATAAATGTGAAAGATAAAATGATACAGCTTAAAGATGAAAAAAGAAAATGTGTTTGTGGCTTATGACAGTTAAAGACACAAAAACTACAAACCAAAAAGTCAGAGATAGATAAATTGAGCTACATTAGAATTAGGAATCTCTAGTCATCAAAAAACACTATTACAAAAGTGTAAAGGTAAGCCATGGAATGGGATGATATATCTGACATATGCATATGTTTGAAAAAGGACTGATGTACAGATTATATAGTCAACAAAAATTAAAACAGTCCTATAGAAAAATAGGCAAAACACTTGAATAGGCCCTTCAAGAAAGAGGATATCCAAATAGCCAATAAATAAAAGTGTTCAACTTTATTAATTGTGCACCTGGTTGTGTTATTTAAATACATAATGAGATACCTCTCTATACCCTCCAGAATGGCCAAACTTAAAAGAGGTTGATGATAACATCATCACACATTACATATGTTGCTGATGAGATCACAAATTGGTACAGATATTTGGTATTGACTGAAGCCAAATATGTGCATATCCTCTGACCCAGCAGTTACACTTTGGGGTATATAAATGCATGCATATGTGTACTAAAGGATATTTGTAAGAATGTTCATAGCAGCACTGTTGATGATAACCAAAAACTGGAAACAACTCAAATGTCCATTAACAGCCAAATGAAATCTGGCAAATTTTACATCGGAGTACTGTCCTACAATGACAAGGGAACGCTTCTGTATTAACAAAATGTATGAATCTTATATAATATTAGATAAAATAACCAAAAACTAGAGTGCCTAATATATAATTCCCTTTATAGGAGGTTCAAAAATAGACAAAACTAATCTAATGATGATAGAGGCCTGTATGATGGTTGTCTTTCTTGGTGAGATTTGTAAGGGGGGGTTCTAAGGAGCCTTCTGGGGTATTTGCAATGTTTGTAATGTTCTATTTTTCAATACAGGTGGTCATTACTTCGTGAAAATTCACTTTGTGAAAATTAATTGAGCTGTACACTTATGATTTTTGTTTCCTTTTTGTATGTTACACTTCATTTAAAAGTATGGCTTTTAATTTAAATTTTTTAATTTAATTAATTAAAAATTGATAAGCCATACATTTACATTTTCTTTCCTTAACATTGACTTCTATTAAAACTCTGACATCTTGGATTTAAATTTTCTTTAAAACATAAATGTTTTGCTAACTTAAAACAGTATTCCATGAGTTCATAATTCTGTTTGAAATAAAGGTATGACAGTATTTTATTGATTGATTGATTGATTGATTGATTGTACGCAGGCCTCTCACTGTTGTGGCCTCTCCCGTTGTGGGAGCACAGGCTCCGGACGCTCAGGCCCAGCGGCCATGGCTCACAGGCCCAGCCGCTCCACGGCATGTGGGATCCTCCCGGACCGGGGCACGAACCCGTGTCCCCTGCATCAGCAGGCGGACTCTCAACCACTGCACCACCAGGGAAGCCTGACAGTATTTTATTGATAATAAATTTGAAAGCATTCAATAAGAAACAATTGTGCCTCTGCTATGTATAAAGAAAAATAAGGAAGGCAAGATACTGTCCTTTTCTCCATCCTCTACTCCCATCATTAGTTTTTCCTATTAATGTGTATATTAGGTACTTTTCATACCTTCATCTCAGTTTTCCATGAGCATGTTTTAATAGCTTGAGCATATGATGTGGCTTAGAGGAATGTCTTCTCTAGAGTCTTCTCTATTTAACTTTAAGGTGTAGAGCCAAGTGGAGATAATCCAGGAATTGAGCTATACCTAGGTGGAATTTGGGAGTGTGGTCTAAACTGAAAATACAGATTTGTGAGTCACTAGGATATAGGTGGCAGTTGAAGAGAGGAGTCTAAACCTTGAGGAAGATTATAAGGACAGGAGAAGGAACAACAAAGCCTGCAGAAGACAATTAAAAGGCCTAGCTAGAGAGAATAAGAGGGAAATCAGGAGTATGTGATATAATGGAAGCCAGTGGAAGAGATTGTCTTAACGAAGGTAGAATAGTCAGCTGTGTTGAATGCTACTGACAGATTAGGTAAGATAAAGACTACATTTGGTGATAGAAGGTTATCAGTGGTATTGGCAGGGTGGTGAGAGCAGGAGTAGTGGAGATAAAAAATAAGTTCGCAGTGCGTTGAGAAATACATAAGAGATAAGAAATTAGAGACAGCCAAAATTTGGATTTAAAGGGGGAGGAAGAAGATTAATTAGGAGGAATTTGGGTGAAAAGGATTTTGTTTTTTTGTCTTGGGGAGGGGAGTGCTGTTACGATGAAAGAGACTTGAACATGTTTTAGTGCTGATGGGAACGAGCCAGTAGGGAGAGAGCAGTTATACGTACTCGGGAGATAGAGGCAATAATGTATAGGGTGAGATTTCTGACAGTGCTGAAAGTGATCTGAACACAGGTGGGGAAATTAAATAAGAGGAAGGATCATTTTTTTCATGATAACAGGAATGAAGAAGGAAAAAAGATAAGCGGAAGCAAATGTGTTTATAAGTTTGTTGTTAAGACGACAATAATGAAATTCTCATTGAATGGCTCCTATTTTCTCTTTGGAATGAAAGATCAGATCACCTGTAGTGATGAAGTGGCGATTTTTGTGGAGAGTGGAGAAGGTTTGAAATAGCTGCAAATATTGTAGACAACACTATTGAAATTGTAGGACCGGCAGTCAGTACTAAAGCCCAGCTGAGATGAATGATCTTTTACAGTGATACTAGTCTTCTCTATTATAAGATTTTCTTCACCTGGATAGGGCAGAGGTCAACTAACTGCAGCCCATAGGCCAAGTCTAGGCTCTGGGCCAAGGCTTCTCATGGACTCTTTTTGTAAAAAAAAAAAAAAAAAAAAAAAAAAAAGGTGTTACTGTAACACAGACATGCTCATTTATTGTCTGTGGCCACTTTGACACTACAGTGACAGAAATGAGTAGTTGGTTCTCAAAGCCTGCAATCTGACCCTTTACAGAAGAAGTTTGCTGACCTCTGGTGTAGTTAAACCTGGATATAGGTACACGGAAGGCAGACATTTGGAGTCAGGTTGAGGTCTTGACAAATGCAATGATAACATCAAAGATACTGGCAGTTGAAGCATTGAAACTTGGAATCCAAGCTGAAGAAGGAAAAGAAGTGAAGAAAGGAACTGATAGGACTTATGGGCTTTATTGGGGTGTCTTGTAGGTAGCTGGGCAGGGGGGAGCTGAAATGATGTAAAATTTGGTCGTATATAACTGAAATAGGTGATTTCAAAGGAGATGCAGTTCTAGGTGATGAGAATGTCCTGGGTGTGGTAGCTGAGGTTGTATGGCACTGAGAGGCAGAGTACTGGCTAGATCATCTGTGTAGATGCTGAAATCCCTCAGAATGGAGCGGAAGGGAAGATGGTGAACCAAGTGGTTGTCTTGTCTTGATCTTTGGGATTTATTAGAGAAAAATAAATAAATTGCTAACAGTCAATTAAACAAATTGCTAACAGTGTGAAAATAAGTAAATAGAAAATTTGTTGCTTTTGTGATTGTAATTAGAACTTACACTTATTTTAAATGTCTTTTGATTATCAGATTGCAGATGTATTTAATTTTGAAGAAACAGTTTATAGTCATCATATGTCTCCAGTTGCCACCAAGCACTGTTTGGTAGCAGGTTTGTACATATGTTGTTTTTTAACATATTGAAAACTTTCTCCCTTTTAATATCTAGTTAGTTTTGATATAAACATTTTAACCCTGATGAAGATCACAATTCTTTAAAAAAAAAAAAGTGTGTATTACTCTTTGTATTCAGTTTTACGGATATTGTATAAGTTGGGCACCGTGCTAGGTTTCAAAGTGGCTAGGATTCAAAGATTAAGAAAGCACATTTTTGTTCCCTTAAGAGTTACTTTTTTTTTATTTTTAACATCTTTATTGGAGTATAATTGCTTTACAATGGGGTGTTAGTTTCTGCTTTATAACAAAGTGAATCAGCTATACATATATCCCAATATCTCCTCCCTCTTGCGTCTCCCTCCCACCCTCCCTATCCCACCTCTCTAGGTGGTCACAAAGCACGGAGCTGATCTCCCTGTGCTATGCAGCTGCTTCCCACTAGCTATTTTACATTTGGTAGTGTATATAAGTCCATGCCACTCTCTCACTTCGTCCCAGCTTACCCTTCCCATCCCCATGTCCTCAAGTCCATTCTCTACATCTGTGTCTTTATTCCTGTCCTGCCCTTACGTTCTTCAGAACCTTTTTTTTTCTTTTTTTTAGATTACATATATATGTATTAACATAGGGTATTTGTTTCTCTCTTTCTGACTTACTTCACTCTGTATGACAGACTCTAGGTCCATCCGCCTCACTACAAATAACTCAATTTCGTTTCTTTTTATGGCTAATATTCCATTGTATATATGTGCCACATCTTCTTTATCCATTCATCTGTCGATGGACACTTAGGTTGCTTCCATGTCCTGACAATTGTAAATAGAGCTGCAATGAACATTGTGGTACATGAAAGAGGTAATTTTAAGCCACCAAAGTTTCAAAGATTTTACGTGAATAAAATTTGGCAGCTTTTTCATTTTGACACAGTAAAACAAGGAAATGATTTCCTTTTCTCTAGAATGTGTAATTCAAATTGAACATCCATTTTTATGAAAGCACCTGCAACAACAATTTTCATGTGTGAAGAAGAAAAAATGTTTTTCTGGTATCAGGTATCAGGTCCCTGTGATATTATTTCTGTGGCACTTCATTCATCTCACCTCCGGACATCAGTCAGCTGCTTCATCTTTAAAGAGTTTGGGCACTAACTTGTCTTTGAGGTCCACTCAGTCTGTGTCCAGAGTTTCTGTGAATCTGTTACTAGTGATTAGAAGTATATCATTACCATGGAAAAGCTAAGCTATTAAAATGAAATGAATTTTTCTAGTTATAAACATTAATAACTATTTAAAGTACATTATTAACATACATTTTTATATTTCTGCATGGATACAGTGAGTATGTCATGACTCATAAGGTAGTTTCTTGTTTCCTTTTATAGTAAAATTATCTTAAACTATTTTTTTTGTTTTGTTTTTACAGTTGGTACTAGAGGGCCCAAAGTACAACTTTGTGACTTAAAGTCTGGATCCTGTTCCCACATTCTACAGGGTATTTGAAACAACAACTACTTTCAGTAAACCATTCAACAAAATGAAACATTATTAACAATGTATTCTTTATAAGTGACATGACTGATGTATTTTGTGCTAGTTGTTAGAAGTCAGCAGGGAATTAAAGATCCTTTTGTGCATTATTGTTATAAAACTAAACTATTGAGGAGACATTTTTATGTACAGTAGCCACAGGGGAAGCTCAAAGAATATAGAAAGTCTAACTCAAAAACCATGTGTTATTTCTACATTGAAAAAAAATGAACTACTTATGAAACTTACATCAGTACATTTGTCTCCATGAGCATTTTTTAATATTGTTCTGGCTGAGTAAACATTCTTAATATTTAGGTGCTTCTTTTCTCAATAAAAATATTTTAGAAAAAGGTATTGAAATAATACTTCAGTAAAGTTTTACTAGCTTAAATTATTTTTGCTACTTTTTTATTAGTATTAGATCATCTAATTCTAAACAGTGAAAAAATAGGATGTAATTCAGATATACTATTTTTATTCATCTCTGAGAAACACATAATAAATATATCAGGAAAACTTGGTGAGATGGATAACATTTGTTTTACATTATCATGAATTTCTATGAATATAAGCTAGGTAGAAAATATATGATTTGAATAGTTTAGTTAGGTAGAAGTGAATTAAAATGCTGAAATCACTTATCCTATGAACTTATCACTTGTGCTTTCTAGATAAAAATTTTTATATAAATGCCTTTTACAATCATGAATTAAAATAATTTTTTTCTGTTATAACTTTCTGAAAACTTAGAGAACATTTTTATTCTTTAGAATGTTTATCTTGTATGGTGGTTTGTTGCAGGGATTTTGTTGTAGAGATAAGTAAGTAAGCCTGAGCTATATCACTTATTAATGGATAGACTTGCTAGGCTAACACCTGTATTTAAAAAGACAGACTCACTTGCTCTGAATGTTTTTTCCAAAGCAAACCCAGACCTTTTATAATAAAATAGCATTGTGAGAAATGCCCCATAGACTTCACATTAATATTTAAATATAGATTATTATAAATGTGAAAAAAATCATGATTGTATCAATTTATTTTTAAGATTTAGTCTATGCTTTCTTCATAATCCGACAAAATTAATTGCACTGTATCTTTTGATTTTTTTCAAATATTTTGCAAGTCATTTTATACAGTTGTTTTGTAGGTCACAGACAAGAAATATTGGCAGTTTCCTGGTCACCGCGTTATGAGTATATCTTGGCAACTGCAAGGTAAAATGCAAATTTTTTGGTTTTGAAGTTAATAATTAATGATAAGCATTTTGGAAAGACTGTTTTTATGTTAGATGCATATTTAGTTGCTAAGTAGGTCCTGGAAAATAAGATAATTGAGTTACAGATTTTAATTCATATCACCAAAAGAAATCTTCCTTTGCATCATAATCTTAATCCTGACTATCTATCTTGAAGGTGCTCACTTTGTAAAACAGAGAAAACAACAGAATCTATGTAGCAATGCAAATCTACTAGTACTACCCATGAAACAACTGTGTTGTGTCATTTTTGCTTACAAAAGTATAACACTGTCAATTTAAGAATAGTAGCATTTTAATTCATTTTCTTTAACCCAAAATTATTTTGAATCTGATTCAGCATGTTCATCCACTCATTGATTCAGTTTACTAATATTTAATGACTCCTATCATGTGCCAAGCATTGTGCTAGGGACACAGAGGTAACACAGGTGTAGTCCTTTCAAGAAGGTAATAGTCTAATGAGGGGGTATAGTCAGAAAAATCAGTGATTTCAGAACATCCTGAAAAATGCTTTAATAGAGATATGTCTCTGGTAGGTATAATATGGGAAAAAAGAACAAGAGCACTTAACTCTTTCTTTCTTTTTTTTTTTTTTAATTGGGGTATAGTTGTTTTACAGTGTTGTGTTAAAAGCACTTAACTCTTGAGGATCAAGGGGGTTGGGCGTTTTGTTTGCTGAAAGGAAGAGTCTTACATATTTAAATGCTGACGGAAAAGTATCGCTGGAGAGAAATAAGTGAAGATAAGAAATGAAGGGGTGACTTCCCCAGTGGTGGAATGGCTAAGAATCTGCCTGCCAACGCAGGGGACACAGGTTTGAGCCCTGGTCTCGGAAGATCTCACATGCTGCAGAGCAACTAAGCCCATGCTCCACAGCTACTGAGCCTGCACTCTAGAGCCCATGAGCCACAATTCCTGAAGCCCGCGAGCCACAATTCCTGAAGCCCACACGCCACAACTACTGAAACCCGTGCACGCTAGGGCCCACGTGCCGCAACTGCTGAGTCTGCATGCCGCAACTACTGAAGCCCGTGTGCCTAGAGCCTGTGGAGCCCCCAGGCCCCCCATCAGCGGAGGGCGGGGAGCCACAATTCCTGAAGCCCACACGCCACAACTACTGAAACCCGTGCACGCTAGGGCCCACGTGCCGCAACTGCTGAGTCTGCATGCCGCAACTACTGAAGCCCGTGTGCCTAGAGCCTGTGCTCCACAGCAAGAGAAGCCACCACAATGAGAAGCCCATGCACCATAACGAAGAGTAGACCCTGCCCGCTGCATCTAGAGAAAGCCCACGTGCAGCAGAAAGGACCCTACGCAGTCATAAATAAATAAATAAACTAATTTTTTTTTTTAAAAAAAAAGGAAGAAATGGAGGGAATAATTGGTACATCAGGACCTTGACTAGACAAGAGAGGGTAATATCAAGGGTCCCAATAGAAGGGGACACTGATTTGACACATGAAGGGCATTATGAGACTAAATGGAAGAAGGAAAAAGGCATGAATGCAATTAAATTTGTGACTTTGGCAGAGCAGCTCAAGAAATGTGAACCCAGTGGCCTCTTGTTTTTTAGTGAGTAGAACTTGATGTCATCTATTGAAAATACTGGAATGGGATGCAATTTTCAGGGAAGGTAGTTAAAGATTTAGAATAACAGTTTTAATGAATGGAAGAGGGAACTGATTAAGGGCACATAGGATTGCTGGTCAGTATTTTGTGCTCTATCGAAGGTGTAGCCCACAGCTGTACTAATCCACAGAAATCAAAATATTGAATGACACAGACTTAACAATTGTCTAAAAATCGTTCAAGTCACAGGTATAAGGAAGGAAATAAAATCGCCAAAAGGCTTATAGGAAGGATCAAGGACCTAATGAGATAGAAGCATGAGTGTTGATAAGAACATTTAAAAACTGAAGGGACAGGAAGTAGTAATCAAATTTTGATATAGACATTTTAATAAAACTTTTTGCAGAAGAATTATTACAAAAACTACTTTTATTAGTCTTATAAAGAAATGTCTCAATATTTGTAAAGCAGCCAGCCCTTCCTCTCTGTCAGTTTATTCCTCAAAGAAGCTTCTGTTAGTAGTTTGCAGAATGTGACATTGAAATTTATAATTTCTGAAGTAGAACAAAGCCTAGAATGTAGCCATAACAAGGCCGGCCAAAGAGGTGTGAAGGTGAGGAGCTAGGCACTGCTTGTGGGTGCATGCTAGAGTGGATTTACATTGTTTGTTTCTAATTTGGTTTTCTTCAAATCAGGAGGGAAACTGAGGCTTTCAATTCTCAGAGTACCCCAGGAATTTGAATCAGTACCAGAATGGGCCTAGTAATCAATGTTAGGAGTCAGTTATGTGCATATCTAATCTGTTTCAGAAGAGACTTAAGTCCTCAGACTCCTCCCATTGCAGACCTATCCCCCAGCTGGAAAGAAAGAAAACCAAATTGAGAATGGGAAATGCTAACTTTTTGCCGACTATTCTAATTGGCTACGTTTGATGGTGATCTGTGAAAATAATCAAAGTTATGGGAAGAGATAAACCCTGTATAGATATTTTTTTAAAGGTTTATAAATGAGAAATAAGCTTATAAAATGCAGTGTAATACTCTAAAATTACCTGGATAAACCCAACAGGTTAGAATATTATTGAGGGCTTTGTGAGGATATGATAGCATCAGTTGAACTGATTTATATTTTCTTTAGTAGTAGTTTAGAAGCTGAAATTGATATGTGATCATGGTTTTACCTTTTTTCATTTCACTTGAAATAAAATGAAAATAAGTGTCGAATTTCTAGGAGATATTAAATTTATTTCTTGTATATCTGGCAAAGATTGATTTGAGTACAGGAAACCAAATAAAAATATTTTGTCCTTATGATTCACCTTATTCTTAATTTTTTTCATAAAAAAAGAAAAACCATATTCCTACCAAATGGATTCTTAAGCAAAGTGAAATTAGTTCACTGCTTGATTATTTAGGCAACATTTGAATAACAAACAGTAGAACAGATATAGTAACAAATTTGCCAAGGAACAAAGCTCTAAGCCTGTCTCGTCTTTGGAGAGGACGATGCTCATGTCATTAAAAACAACAGAAGAAACAGCAGAATTCCATCCTTGTGATTTACTTTTTTTTTTTTTCTATTTTTTCACTTCTTTGTGCTACTATTGACTATTGAATATTTGCTGGAAAGGCAAAAGTACAGCCATCCAAATGTACAAATACATTTGTGCTAATATACTGAGACCTCTGTATGCCATAATACTGGAAAGGTGGGTGAGGAGTACAGTTATTATCCTAGCTATACACGTTAATGTAACATTTATGTCTTCTCAGTGCTGACAGTAAAGCAAAATTATGGGATGTGAGGAGAGCATCAGGATGTTTGATTACTCTTGATCAGCATAATGGGAAAAAGTCACAAGCAGTTGAATCAGGTAATGAAAAACACATTAATATAGAAATATGGCATTGATAGTATTTTTATATTGAAATTTTTGAATTGAAACCAAATAATAAATGTATGTTGACAAATTGTAGATTTTATTTTTTTTAAAAAAGGCATTCACAACAAATCAGTTTCTAAATTTACATCAACTAAATTATGGTTGTCTTTTTTTTTTACTAAGGATTCCAGTGAGCTTTTTTTCTTTTTAAAATTTTTTTTTTAATTTTTAACATCTTTATTGGAGTATAATTGCTTTACAATGGTGTGTTAGTTTCTTCTTTATAACAAAGTGAATAAGCTATACATACATCCCCATATCTCCTCCCTCTTGCGTCTCTCTCTCACCCTCCCTACTCCACCCCTCTAGGTGGTCACAAAGCACCAAGGTGATCTCCCTGTGCTATGCGGCTGCTTCCCACTAGCTATCTATTTTACATTTGGTAGTATATATAAGTTATGGTTGTCTTTCTTTAAGATACAAGTAAGGGGACTTCCCTGGTGGCCCAGTGGGTAAGAGTCTGTGCTCACAATGCCGGGGGCCCAGGTTTGATCCCTGGTCAGGGAACTAGATCCTGCATCTGTGTGGGGTGGCCTTTAAAAAAAAAAAAAAAAAAAAAGAAAGAAACTAAAAGATACAAGTAAGTATGGCATTTCTTCTGCCCCTGAATTTTTGAATGTAGAAACTTTTCTGGATTAACTTGTTATTTTATTTTTTTCCTCACATGAGGCCAACTAATACAAATTCAGTGCCATTTAGGAAGTTACAGTAAATTAAAGAAATGGTAATATTTTGTGTCCATTTTGTCACAAAATTTGCAAGTTGTGTTTAATTTGAGTCCACTGCAATCCAGGTAACAAAGTACCTCGATTGCATTTTTATAATAGAATTTAATTTCTGTGTAAGTTAAAATTCTGATTCAGAATTAAATTTGGACCAGAAATACATTAGGTTGAACTATATAAAACCTATGATTGTTTTAATAATCTTTTAAATTAAATTAATCAGGTTATTGAGAATTATGCTTTCTCAAACATGTTCATTTTAAAAGTAATATAAATTTTGATTGAGACTATAACACTTCTTTAAGTGGCAAATACTAGTATTATTGATTTTTTTTCTTTTTTTTTTGGTATTATTGATTTTTAATAGTCCATGGAATGATTTTTAGATTGCAAATGGAAATAATATATAAGAAGTTTAATTTTCAATTTAAAATTTTAGTGGTAAGTTTATGCAGTTAATTGAGTTTGATAGCACAGCTTACTCTCTGAAGAAAAATTATATTTGGCAGGATTTTCTCCCTTTGCTTTTCCTATTTTCCTCTGCTTTTATGGTTCTAATTTATATAGCTTATGTTCAAGTAATCCAAAGGGATGATTCGTTTTAAATATAATCAACTTATATTTAGATAATTCAGATAGTTTTCCTTTAATATGTTTAAATAACTATATCATCAAGCATTAAGTGTGTGTTGAATTTATAAGAACAGATAAACTGAATTGTGTTTTTCATTGCAGCAAACACTGCTCATAATGGGAAAGTTAATGGCTTATGTTTTACAAGTGATGGGCTTCACCTCCTCACTGTCGGTACAGATAATCGAATGAGGCTCTGGAATAGTTCCAATGGAGAAAACACACTAGTAAGACATTTTACGTACCTTGAATGTTTTGGATCTACATTAAAGAAATGAATCTGTGACTTAACACTTGGTGTTTTTCTGTAGATTTGACTTTGTTTCTTTACTCTGAATCACAGCTTTCTTTATATAATATTTTTCCATTATGTGAACTAGTAATTCTCAACTCAGGACAACCCGCCCCACCTTACCCCACCACATTCTCCCCACTTAGTGTAGAATCATTGCTCTGCTGAGCCACTGTGTATAATGGGAGCGTGCCATCTCTGTTAAGTATATTGTAGAAGAATAAAAGATTGAGAACAACTGATATAAGTTAAAGCTATAAAGTTAGTCAAATTTTATACTATATCTGACTTGTAAACAAAATCCAAAATGAGGGACTTCCCTGGTGGCGCAGTGGTTAAGAATCCACCTGCCAATGCAGGGGACACGGGTTCGATCCCTGGTCTAGGAAGATCCCACATGCCACAGAGTAACTAAGCCCGTGTGCCACAGCTACTGAGCCTGTGCTCTAGAACCTGCGCGCCACAACTACTGAGCCTGCATACTGCAACTACTGAAGCCCGCATGCCTAGAGCCCATGCTCCGCAACAAGAGACGCCACTGCAGTGAGAAGCCCGTGCACCACAATGAAGAGTAGCCCCCACTCAGTGCAACTAAGAAAGCCCACACGCAGCAATGAAGACCCAACGCAGCCATCCATAAATAAATAAATAAATAAAAATCCCAAATGAAATGTTATAGTACGAAAACATATGGTAATTGGAATAGATGTGTTCTAAAAGTGCTAGATTCTTTTTTTTTTTAATTGAAGTATAGTTGATTTACAGTATTGTGTTACTTTCAGGTGTACAGCAAAGTGATTCATTTATACATATATATATGTATATATCTTTTTTTTTCGATTCTCTTCCTTTATAGGTTATTACAAGATACTGAGTATTGTTTCCTGGCTATACAATAAATCCTTGTTGTTTATACATTTTATATATGGTAATGTGTATCTGTTAATACCATACAACTAATTTATCCCCTCACCTTCCCCTTAGGTAACCATGGGTTTGTTTTCTATGTCTGTGAGTCTGTTTCTGTTTTGTAAATAAGTTCATTTGTACTAGTTTTTAGATTCTGCCTATAAATGATATCATATAATACTTGTCTTTCTCTGACTCACTTCACTTAGTATGATAATCTCTAGGTCCATCCATGTTGCTGCAAATGGCATTATTTCATTCTTTTTTATGGCTGAGTAATATTCCACTGTATATATATACTACATCTTCTTTATCCATTCATCTGTTGATGGACATTTAGGTTGCTTCTGTGTCTTGGCTACTGTAAATAGTGCCACCATGAACATTGGGTTGCATGTTGCTTTTCTTTTTTTAATTCTAATTTTTTTTTAATTTTTATTTATTTTATTTTTGGCTGCGTTGGCCCTTCATTGCTGCGTGGTCTTTCTCTAGTTGCAGCAAGCCGGGGCTACTCTTCGTTGCGGTGTGTGGGCTTCATGTTGCAGTGGCTTCTCTTGTTGTGGAGCATGGGCTCTAGGCACACAGGCTTCAGTAGTTGCAGCATGCAGGCTCAGTAGTTGTAGCTCACAGGCTCTAGAGCGCAGGCTCCATAGATGTGGCACACAGGCTTAGTTGCTCCACAGCATGTAGGATCTTCCTGGCCAGAGCTCAAACCCATGTCCCCTGCATTAGCAGGCAGATTCTTAACCACTGCGCCACCAGGGAAGCCCTCATGTATCTTTTCTAATTAGAGTTTTCATCTTTTCCCATTATATGCCCAGGAGTGGGATTGCTGGATCATATGGTAACTCTATTTTCAGTTTTTTAAGGAACCTCCATACTGTTTTCCATAGTGGCTGCACCAATTTACATTTCCACCAACAGTGTGGAAGGGTTCCCTTTTCTCCACACCTTCTCCATACAAGTGCTAGATTTTTATGTGGTAATTAATTTTTAGTCTTTTTAAAAATTTATGTTATAGTCCTTACCAGATGTACCTCTGGTTTAGTCACTTTCAGAGTAAGCTACCAAAAGTTTATAATTTGGCAATAATACTAACAACTAATATTTATTGAGAGCTTATGTGCCAGTTACCACGCTAATAAAAATTAACATTTAATATATGTGCCAGAGTATACATGGTGTTGTTTAATCACCACATCAACACTATGAAGGTTGTTACTCTATTAACACCCATTTTACACATGAGGAAAATAAGACATAAAATTAGGTAACTTGCCTGAATTTACATAGCTAGAAAGCAACAGAGTTTGACTCTAGATTCTACTCTTACCATAATGCTGATTATACCCAGACCCCTTAAAGCATTTATTAACTACCTTAAGGTTCATATTAATCATATTCCTTTCTTTAATTATCCTTTCTAGCTAATTCTCTCTTAGATATTCTAAGTATCACTTTTATTATTAAAAACTAACTTTAAGGTCAGAATTGTTTGTGCCAGATTACTTTAGGGTTTGCTAATCCCTCTTATTCTTTATGAAATGCTTCTCCATCATGTCTCAGGCTAAAAACTCAGGCATTACAAATTTTAATTTAGAATCTCCCACTCATTATATTGTACCATGTCCCTAATCAGGTCACACCTTCCTTTTTTCTCATTTTATTCATTTGTTTAATAAGAATTTATTGAGTACTTCCTATTTTCCAGGCAGTATTATACAGGAATAGACAAAACATAGAAAAGTTCTATCCTTATGGAGCTTACGTTCCAGGGAGAGAAAGAAAGACATCCATCAATGAATGAATGGATGGATGGATGAATGGGTAAAATATATATTCGGTGCAGTAAGTACTATAAAGAAAAGCAAAGCAAGGAAGGGAGCATAGAAAATATTAAGAAGCTGGAGTTGATGTTTTACCTAGGGCAGTCAGGCTAGGTCTGACTCAGAAGATGGCATTTGGCCTTAAGGAAATGAAGGAGTGAGCCATCCAACATCTGGGAGGGAGAGCATTCCAGGAAGAGGAAGGAAGAAAGTACAAAGACCCTGAGGCAGGAGCATGCTTGGAATACCCAAGGAGCATGTATGTGGCTCTTGTGTTAGACTAGAGTAAGCAAAGGGGAGAGTAATAGGAGATAAGCAACAGAAGGAACAGGATACCAGAGCTTACAGGCTTGTAGCCCTTGGTAAGGGCTTTGGCTTTTTCTATGTGTGAGATAGGAAGCCACTCAAGGCTTTTGAGTGGAGAAGTGACAGGGTCATTTTGGAAAAGTAGGTTACATGTGCATCAAAGGTGAATGTGATAGAAATAAATGGTATTGAGTACATACATAAATTGTTAATGTGATTTTATTCCATTTTTCTCTCCATCTTGAAGGTGGTGATACTCATATACTCTATGGATTTTTGCTAGTAAGCCCATATTTTGAATAGTGTGTTTAGAATGGATAATACATTTTAAAAAGGACTTGATCAAAGGAAAAGTCATTCATGCAAAAATACTAAAGTGGCCCAGAAACTCACCTACAAAGAACACTTAAAGGTATTGGGACATTGATCCCAGAAAAAGTAACTCTCAGGGGAAGCACACTGTATTCAAACACTTAAAGTGCTGTCAGACAGAATAGTAAGCAAATTTCAGCCCTGCCATTTAGTAATTTGTGTAGTAGGCAATTTATTTAAGGTGAGATCATGAAGGACTATGGTCAGAGTTTCAGTGTCTCCATCTTGTAAATCAGGATTATTAGGTACCTAAACAGTAATTGTAAGGGCAAAATGGAAGTATGTTAAGAGTAGTACTGTACCTGCTAAATAATAGGCATATCATAAATGATAACTATTTTTATTGTATGGTGTTGCCTTATTGGTAGTACCCTTATAATTTAAGAAAAGTGTATAAGTACATGCTTCCAATATATGTATAATTATTTATAAATTATACACACGTACTGTTGTGAGTCTATATATTTTATTAAGGCTTAATTTCTTATTTTTTAGTTAAAAATGAATAGAAATTCTCATATTTTCCCCTCATACCTTAATGGATCATCTTACAGACTCTTTGAGGTGCCAACTGCACTCTGGAAACCATTCCCTTTGAGTACAGAAAACTCTACCTACAGGGAAAATTCAGAGACAGCTTTTGGCACAGCAACAAAATTTTAAAATAGCTATTCTGGTGTTTACTGTTTCAGTTATTGGTATTATCATTCACCCAGTCACCAATGGCTAGAAAGTGGGAGTCTATCCTTTATTCTTCCCTTCCCTTATCCCAGCTATTAAATCATTTACAAGTCCTCTTAATTGTTTCTTCATAATTTATTTCTTAGCTCTCTTCCCTTCCAGCCTCACTTTGGGCCCTCATGGTCTCTCTCTTTAATTACTCTAACGTCCGTCTAACTTTTCCCAAACTCATCTCCCAGTGAAAGTGTTTCCCCAGTAAACTTTCAGGTTATGAAAACTGAATATTTTTGCCTGTTGTGCACAAGGCCTTCATAAGCTGTCCCTTCTAACTCACTAGCTTTATATCTTGCCACTTCCCCATTTTTTTCCTTGTCCTTAGCCATACTGAGCTACTTAAAGGGCTTTAAATATACGCTCTCTCACCCTTCCGTTCTTTGTGTCAACTGCTGCCTTTGCTTTAGAATACCATCTTCTCCTTCCTGTCGTAGCTGCTTCTCAGCTTTCAAGATTCATTTCAGGCACAATCTCTTTTTAACTCCTCTAGTCTAGCTTACCTGCTTCCAGAGTACCCAGTGCTCACTTGTATTACAGTAGACTGTGATCATCACTTAGTGGAACTAAAGAAAAATAATTTACCACAGTGTGGCACAGTGCTTTTTGATTAGTATAGTCTAGATTTCAGTTTCTGATTCTGTCACTTACTAGCCAAGAGACCTTGATCAAAATACTTAACCTTTCTAAGTGTTTTCTTTTTGTTTAATAATGCTACCTATTTCATAGTATTGTTTTGCATATTATATGAAATAATGCATGTAAAATATTTAACACATTGTCTGATACTTACAGCAAATGTTAACACTTAGTAAACATTACCTGCCATTATTATTAATTATGCTGATAGTTGTTTGACAGTGAAATGGGCTGCCTTATGACGAAATCTCGGCATCACTGTAGGTATTTATTCAGTGACTAGATATATATATTTCCTGGGACAATAAAAGGGATTCATAAGATAGGGAACTGTGTTTGCCATCATCCTATCCCACATCTATGAAATTTTCCTCCCCTATCAGAATCTTTTCAAAGACTGTACATACCACCTTTAAGACATCATAACCAAAAGTAACCTGTTCTTCAATACTTTCATAATATATAGCATGATATTTGTCACATACTGCTTTTTATGGTGTTTATAGTCATAAAATGGGGAGCTTAGATAATCACCTAGCACAGTGTGTGACACTAAGCACTTAGTAATTAGTAGATCTCTCCTTTCCTTCACCTGTTACTAGAACTTCATTCCATAGGCATTGAAAAGATATTGATACTTTTAAGCCCACAGGTGATTTGATCACAGCAGTGATTTACCAAGATTAATAGGACAGTAAGTTGCAAGATGGATTGCAGGGGGAATGCCTAAGGACAAAGACAAAAGTTAATTAGCTAGTTCAGTATTTATACCTCATTGAACACTTTCCAGTTCACATTTGGGAAGGAATGTGGTATAGTGGAAAGAAAATAGGTTTTGTACGTAGGTGTTCTGATGTGTGAATAAGACCATCACATTCTAGGAGTTCATAATTTTTCCAGGAGGAGCAGAGAATTGCTAGTTGAGATTTGTGTTTTTCCTCCACCCCACCTCCCCACCCCACAGTGTTATTCTACAAATTGTTGTGCATGGAGGATCAAAAGACAAAAATGAGGGAATGTTATTCTTTTAAATATATAGGAATTAATAAATCTAAGGACTCACTGAATACTTCTATATCCTAAGTGTTTTCTTATGCATTGTTTCATTTTTTAAAAAATATTTATTTATTTATTTGCTTGCACTGGGTCTTAGTTGCGGCCGGCGGACTCCTTAGTTGTGGCATGCAAACTCTTAGTTGCCGCATGCCTGTGGGATCTAGTTCCCTGACCAGGGATTGAACCCGGGTCCCCTGCATTGAAAGTGTGGAGTCTTAACCACTGCGCCACCAGGCAAGTCCCTGCATTATTTCATTTTATTTTTCACAATGACTCTGGTAAAATGTTATTTCTCCTTTTTTTTTTTTTTTTTTTTTTTTTGTTTTTTTTTTTTTTTACGCG